CCTCTGGAATTCTGGGTTCAAGTTCCTGTTAGATGCATGAAGATTTTTTTGTTGTTAGATTTTTTTTCCTACAACCCACTTCACCAATATGCGTAACACATTGTTTTAGGTGAAATGATGTCTCTAAATTGTCAGATTGAGATGGACTGACATCCCACCAGGTTGTGTCCTGCCTCATACTCCGTGCTTCTTAGGATGAGCTCCTTGAGCTCTGTCTAGTGTGTTCCAAATATTACCTCCTTGTCCTCCAGTTTGGTACTTAGTAGTGACACCCATTCCGCATTGGTCGTGGTCCCAAAAAGCAAGAATATTGATATCCCATGCATTGCTGAGATTCCATGCTTTTTCCGCTGTAAGCCTTTTCACCACAAGTCAGGGTGTGTGGCTTAAGAGAAGCGACATTCTTGCTACATCCCAGCACTGCGGCATCAAATATACTGTGGCACCTCTCAAAAACGCTGTCACAGCGTCAGCATTTGAGTTATGTTGGTCTCTCTTCCCTGCTAAACTCCCACCCAAAGCTTGCATAGACTGAGACAGTCACTGAAGGGAACCCCAATGCATGGACACTCCTGTACTCTGGAGCAATGTTTACTAGACTGTGATTTAAATGCCAGAATGCAAACATTCTGTGTTCTGAGATTCAGGAGTCCGAATCGGTCAACACGACTTCTCAGTAGTGCTGTCAGTATTCGCTGACACAGTGTATATGTCTTCCTGTAATGTGCGACAAGCCAGGGAGCCAGGTGCCTACATCAGACTGTTCCCTCTACTAATTTTAGACCTTTAGGGCTTGATCATTTGCCCAGCCGTGTTCAACCACTTGACTGTTAATATCTCCAAAAATGTTATACTCTTTAGCTTAAGGGTCTTTAGCGTGAGAGATTTCAACTGTAAATGAATACAGCTAAACGGCCAAGTTGAGGTGAAAGCAGTTTTATTTATATGGACAATTTTATTTACATGTTGTTGTGCACTGGAAAATAAACCCCTCTATCTATTAAACCTAGTGACTTGCCTAGCAACCACCAAAGCTACTGGAGTTTCAGTGAAGTATATTACGAACAACGAACGCTCCATTGTGACAGTCTGAAAGACGTGACGAAAGACAAGTTGAGCCCTCAGATACCCCCACCCCCACCATGGTTCTGTGCTGTAACTTACATAAGCCTGGCTTGCCCTTGATCCACCTTAAAAGGGAACTAGCAGCCTTCAAAGCTAGATAGAGTGTGTGTAGGTAACAAGGAAACAGTCCTATAAGAATTGCAGGGCTTGCTGGAGCTTCTGTGTGTGTGTGTGTGTCCAGGTATACCTTACCTTCTGGGGACCAAATGTCCCCACAACGTGATGAATACCCATTTTTTTTTTTACCTTATGGGGACCAGTTTCCATGGTTATGGTTAGGGCTGGGTAGGGCTTAAGGCTGTCATAGTTAGCATTAGCATTATTCCCATAGAAATGAATGAGCGGTCCCCAAAAAGATATGATTACACGACTGTGTGTGAGATATCATGTCATTTTTGTGTGCACATGTGTCTGTGCTGGTGCAAACATTACATGCCCTATTGAGTGTGTGTGCCTTTATCCAGGTGCTAACAGGGCAGCAACACACATGGCCCACGTCTCCTCCATTAGGTCCCAGGGAAGTGCATAGGATGGGGTGTTTTCATATACTGGTGTCAAGCCCCCACAGAATATATAATTTATGTTCATTCTCTTCCTCTGTCTCATTCCCAGGTAGAGAATCCAACTCTGACAGCTGGTAGATGGGCGTGAAAGGACATGACCCTGAGCTGTCAGGCATCTGAATGCCACAGTTGTTGGTGGCCCAGCTGCCTGCTCTCTCCATGATATGGACCTTGGAGAGATAGTGGTGAAGCTTCCTTCTCAATCAGTCTCCATATGCATGCGTTGTATGTAATGTCACTGTGGGTCAATGGTATTTTTCACAGGTTATAAATGTTAGTGTGTTGCGTGTGCATGTATATATGTGTGTGTGTGGATTAGGTTTATATTACATTGTGGGGACCCACCAAGATCTGTGAATGAAATCAAATAAGTAAAAATCCCAAAAGTCTCATATTTAGTTTGGTTACTTATGGTTAAGGTTAGGGCTGGGTAGGGGTTAAGGTCGTCATGTTGTGATTAGAGTTTTCCCCATAGAAATGAATGGAGAGTCCCCACGAAGATATATTTGCAAACCTGTGTGTGTGTGAGTGTGTGTGTGTGTGTGTGTGTGTGTGTATGCTTGCGTGTGCATACAAATGCTGCATGTTATCAGTGGGGGTGGTATTCTTACTGCTCACACAGATAAGTAGGCTGCTCACAGCGGAGGACAGGATATCCGTAATTGCCATGCAGAATATTTCCATTTCATTCAGTTTTTTTTCTTGAATTCCTCTGATCACCCAGTAACAACATCGCAGGTTCCAGTTTATGCACATTTTTCACAAAAGAAAAAACACAGTTGGCTTTTTGATCTGTACAAACTGCGGCCTCCCCTTGTGTCTTGGGGTCCTGTAACTAACAGGCTGTTATGCTCCTGCTGAGACCCACATGTGGTCTTCACATCAGCCTGGCTTTCGGTTTAAGGGAGATAGGCAGGAGGAGCATCAATGAGTCAGCAACAGGTGCCTGTCAAACAGAGCACAGTAACTGGAGATGGTCTATTTCGAGAAGGCATGAGGCCTGGATGACCACACACACATGTGCATCACGTGCATGTTTTAGACTGAAGGTCAATTAAGCAGGGATTTAAAAACAAGAATTTTTCACAGTAGTATAATAGACTATGCACTGGGATTTGCTATGGGGAGTACAGTGATGATAGTTAATTTTTCTAGCGTGTGTGCACAAGTGTGCATTTCATTAGAGTCAATTTATTTGACTATGGATGTTTATTCTATTCTATTCTATGTGTATGGAGCATAGGATGTGAAATGTGAGATAATTATCCTATTCAGCTGCTGAAGGTAGCGTTTCCCTGAATTTAGTCGATTAATTAAAGTCATGGTTTAGCTTGAATGACACAAATGGCCTTTTTGGGTGTGAACATCTGTGTGATGTCACCTTCCAGTCAGAGGCTGATATTCACCTGCAAAAATAAGGTGATAAGACTTGCTCATGGGAGAAGCAGACAGAGAAGACCTTGGAATACCCCAGTCTGCTCATTAGCATTTATATTGCATCACCCACACAGTGCAGTCAGCTACACCTGGGTTAGGATGGGGGTGGGTGAGGGAGGGGGGGGCCTGGAGCAGTAAACAGTGAACTATAACATACCCCTAAAATCAAAATTAATTTAAGACCTATTTTGTGCTGTACTGATGATTAATAGCAATTTTAGTAACCCCTATTGAGAGACCTGAGGCAGCAATGCAGTGTATCGAAAAAGTGGGGCTTACTGAGCTACGTCTGCAGAAGGAGGCGGAGAGAAAGGTGGTGCTTACATCGTTTTCCTCATACGGCAGACATTTGGCTGGGCTTGTCTTGGTGAAGAGCCTTTCTATGGCCAGAGTTAATGACTTTCCCTTAGATTACAGTTGTTTGGTGTTGAATGATTCACTTGACTTACATCTCTGGCAAGTAAGAGCATTGGGTAAGGTGTATCTGGCTGAGAATGACCCACATTTTCACTGCTGAGACATTCCAGAGCCCATTCGCTTCTGTGGGCTCCCTACTGAGGAACGCATGCTGAACATTACATTAATATGATCATCAAGTTTCATGAAAACTACACATACTGTATGAAGGGCCATTATATCAGGATTCAGTAATGTGGTAAATATTCAGCTTTGCTCATTTGTGTATTTTTCCCTCAGGCAGCTAGATAAGTTGTTGGGTGATGGATGGATGGATTTTTTTCTATTCATGTTAAATATGAGTCCACTATCCAAGTTTAGTCTTAGAGTCTAAGGCAGGGGTCTCCAACTCCGGTCCTGGAGAGTTACTATCCAGTAGGTTTTCTATCCTACCTGGCATCTGATGAGCCACACCTGTTCTCAGGTAAAATTCATCAGAAGCTCTCCAGGACCAGCCCGTGTCCAAGGGAAAAGAGACACCAAAATATAGTCTCTCTTGTTTGCCATGGTATTCAAATCAACTCAGATTAACATTATTGTCTCATACCTTAAGGGGGAGGTGACTTAATTCCTGCTCTGATATGTGTATAGAATTTGTGTTAGCTTCTTACGGATACACCCCCCCCCCCCATTCCTAAAATGTGTGGTTTACTTGACTTGGTGTCCATAAAAGACCTTGTGTACGTGGCCTGTGATGGACTGGAAATTTGTCACAAATGTTTCATGGGATAAGCTATCTGAAACCCTGCACGGTATGTCTGTTTCTGGAAGTTGTGAATTGTCATGTAATTTTCAGGTCTTCTAAAGTTGTTATGGTTGACAGTCAAACCTGATTTTAGTCATTCACAAACAAAACACAGCTCTGGAAGAAATTAAGTGAGCACTCTATATTATTGTTCAAAATTAATCAGCATTTTTAATTCCTAGTTAAATCCTGGTTCTGCTGGCAGAAGGCTACATGGGAGGTTGCTTCCGGGCTCAGAACTTCTAAGACAGCAGTAGACAAGAACACGGTGATATAGGAGACACTGGGAACAAGAAAAACCAGCCAGGTAGAGGGCGGAAGCGACTTTCTAATGGCAAAAATGACTGTTAATTTATGTAACAGTGCCTTGTGAATTGGAGGATGACTCCAAGTGACCTTCAAAAAGAATGGGAAACATTAAGTGGTGTGAAGTGCACTGCTAGGATAAGTTTGTAACAGGCCCCTTGAAGCAGGACTGAAGTCCCATAAAGCAAGGAAGAAGCCCTTCATTAATAAGAAACAGAGAAGAACCAGGCTGCAGTTTGAAGCATACCCGTAAACTGAGAAATGAAAAAAAAAAATGCCGGGGTCTCATTTTTTTTTCCTAAATACCACAATGGGAAGAGAACCTGTTAATCCGTATGGAGAAAAAAATGGACATTTCTAAGGTCTAGAGCTCCAAGGAAAGAGAGACACACTCTCCCCAAATGGAAAAGGCTTAGATACTGTATCAGTGAATTTCACTGTCAGCAGTGACCTTGCCGACACCTCTACTGAAAACAAGGTATAAAATTGTTCAGGAAGTCACAGAGAACTGAACAACAGTGCTTATAGTGCAAACACCTGCAGTTAGGTGAAGTGATGACTCTAAATGACCCATAGTGTGAGACACTGCGGTGTCTCCAGCATTGTTCCCTGTGCTGTTTGGGACAAGCTCCAAGCTCATCACAACCCTGTACTAGATAAGTGTTTATATGAAATAAGAATCTAGATTTTCTTCAGGACCAGTTTATCTACGTCCCATTGAGACTGAGACATTAGCCCATGGTTCTTTGTGGCACTGATCTACAGCTATAGGAAACAGTTTCACTCACTGCGGCTAGCCAGTAATTGCGATGGAGCTAGTTCCTAAGTGTCTGGGCTTGAATACTCTTTCACTTGGGTGTATTAGGTGTTGCATAACTCTGTTCACTAAAGAAAGGACATGTAACATTTTTGCATAATTTACTTTTTCAAGTTCCTTTTTAGCTCTTCGGTTTTGCCTAAAGTTCTGATAACGTAAAGTGTCAAGTATATATGCAAACATGAAAAATCTGACTTGGCAAATGCCGTTTTACATGGTGCTTTATATACGTTAATTACTTCAGTACACTCAATAAACAATTGAATGTGATCTAAATTTGCGCACACAAAGAGGTTTAAGGTTCTGTGATCATATATACATAGGGTTGTGCAAAATATCTATTATGAACTGAAAAATACTAATTTCAGACGTACTGAGAAAATTCCGCGTAATTACTTGTTCAACAATGAGTTACAGGCACAGGAAAAACATGTATATCAATGGAAAATGTTTGAGTTATAATCAGTGATTTTCTTATTTTGTGGACTTGGTTGACATCCAGCGCTCTTCCACAGAGACAGGACACACATATCATGCAAGAACTGAGTGAAAAGTATGAGCTCTGCATAGGAAGTGGGAAGTTCAACTGGCACAGTCGAGAGAAGGTAACAGGTGTGAAAGCAGTGGACTCTGGCCTTTTAGAGATAGTGGTTTTGTTACCTGGGTGCAATGACACAATTGTAAAATCAGGACTCCACCCTGTACAAATGAACTGATTAGTTTCCTACCCAGGAAAAGTCAAGCAATTTGCATCCCTGTCCTGATTTACAGAAATTGAGATATTCAGGCGTTTTGTTTATACAAACAATATGTGTTTTTTATCTATGAGTATGAAGTGAAATGTACATATATTGCTAGGCAGATTATTTTGCTGGAGAGATTGAATCATATCAGTTTTAATGACTGAGACCGTTAAATGAACTTGTGACAAAAATGTGTGTGTCATGTTTCTATAGAGCAGAGTTGTATTTTGGGAAATTCAGCTAAACTACCAATCACTTAGCTAAATATCGAATGATATTAGAGCATTCCATATGCAGTTGTCCAAAAGGGACACTGCAGTGTTTCAAAAATACACTGAATGCAGAACATGAAAAAGGCTGCGTAAAAGTGCACAGTATACACAGTTTTAGTGTTTTAGTCTAAATTTGCTAAGAACATGCCACCCAGATTATAGACATGACACCACTTATACATCCCTGTACCACTTACATATCACTGCCGTGCGTTTTCAAGGTGCGAACAGCACACGGCAGCATCTGTGTATTTGTGTGCAGAAGGCTGTCTCCTTGGTGACAGCAAAACTCTCATATCTTAAGGTGCCATGGGACCCCACACAGTCTTATCAGTAACAACAAACATCAGCCACGCCAGGGACCCAGCCATGTTTAGATCGAATGCTCAAGACAATTCAAACAAGGGTTAAAAGCAACGGAGTACCACTGACCATCAACACCAAACACTTTTAAAGTGGGTCCATGGAGTCAAAGGCATACAAGCTTTTGTTTGAAATTCTCTGTTTATCAATTGCTTTTCATAAATAATAATAATAATTATAATAAAATGCTAGACTTATATGGCGTCTTTCAAAACCCAAAGATGCTTATCATACAGCCTATTATCTAAAGATAACAGGTATTTGTGCCCAGGGTTCAGGAAATACTTTACTGTCCTGCTGAAATGTACAAATAAAGACTGTGGACAAATAACATATTTTGAGTTTGACCCCATCCAAGGCACAAATTTTGATATTTGAGAAGTGCAGGTATCACCTAAGTCAAGGAAGTGAATTAAATCCATCTGCTGACCCAGTTTTCATATGAAATGAAGACGAATCCTCCATTTAACGTTACTGTAATACGGGAAGCCTGGGGGAAAGAGCAAAGGGTGTTGAATGAACAGGAACCTGAAGCAGGTTCCTCACACACTTGTATTCACTCACATCTGATGTATTTCACTTCTGCATTTTACTTAACATTTCAGTTCATCATTAAATAGATATAAATAGAAACTGCAGGGACAGCAAAAACAACCAGTAAAACAGATGCTCTACACTTTCTAACATTATTCATAACCAGAAACCACTCTGCATCTGTGCCTGTGATGACCTCTTTACGATTTTTGGCCAAGCTGCCTCCCAGAGTTACAAACAAAACACAATTTCTCAGTTTGAATATCATCTGAACCTCATGCTGGTGGACTGTGGAGGTGAACTCAGTATTCACAGCTGGAGGACAACACTACTAACTGAACCAACCCACTAGGTTTTTCCGTGCGTTTTCATTGTCACTCTGGTGTTTCACACTCGCCATGCGGGTGTGGTCCGTATGGTATGCCCCAAAGGCGTGTCTCCTCGCCGAGCTTCCTGCATTTTTGAAAGGGCGTCCGACGTGCGTAAGAGTTTACCTTGGCTGTTCTGATTGGCGTTCTTCTGAACTGTATTTAATGAACGACTGAATATGTCACAGCTCTCCTAATTGGACGGTAAGTACAGAGAAACGCCTAGTATGTAACTGCGCATCCAATCAGAAAACGTCTTTCTAAGCTTCCTTGAATTTCTTCTATGGTCGTGTAAAGTACTACTATATGTGTTTTACTTTCAATAAGTAGCTAAGCGTGTTGTAGAAATCCACGCTGAATACTAAAACAGTATAGAGCGTTACCGGAAGTCGTCAAGTGGTTTTTACCGGACCATTTCATCAAGACGGGCTAGTGGTACCGAACTGGCAAAAGCTCACCTCTGTCCCGAAACCATTGGCCGGGCTTCGTTTGTGGACGGAACAAGAGCCGAGCCCAGCCCAGCAGCCCGCCTCCTCTCCTCCCCCTCCACCTCTCTCTCCCTCCCTCTCTCTCACTCACTCGGCTCGCCCGCAGCATTCGTCTTCTCGGGCAAGGTTTCACTCCAGAGATGGCCGCGAAAGTGTGCAGAACGGTCCTTGTGTTGTCCCGTAGCGGCGGAGCGGCGGCAGCCGGCTTCCCCGCACTGGGTGTCTCTCCACATCGACAGAGCTCCCACATAGCACCGGTGAGTCTCCGAACTGGAGCGCTAAGAAGGACAGGAAGGGAAGGAGGCAGTGTACAGAAAAGGGAGGGGACGAAGGATACGAGGGGCGTTAGGTTAGTGGGTACTGGAGGAGGATGATACGTTTGCCAGCGGGTGACTTGTCGATATACAGCCGCTTCGCTTTTAGCCGAGTTTCACAGGAGGCTGGAAGTTGCCATTGTAAATCTGGGCGCCCTGTCGCTTTGCACTGCACTCTAGTACTTGCATTTAATCAGTAAAGTCACGGCGTCCGCAGTCACACGCAGGCTCGCATTGCAGCGTTGGGAAATCCGCGTAAAACACAGCGCGGCCCGGCAGCCGCTGTCCCGTCTCCGTATAGAGCCATTCTGGGCTTTCAGTCTCAAAGCTGTCCAGTACCGTTGCATGTTGCAGATGGCATTCACGGCATGTGTGTCACGGATTTTTTTAAAAAAAATCTTAATCTTCACCTTGAATGCAACAGTGCCCTGGCAACTTTAACGTAGAGCGGTTAAATAGAAACCATTAAGCACTTCCTGTAGTTTATGGCAAATCGGACGTGTTAAAGGGCGGCAGGCGGAGGTTAATCGGCTGCATCTGTCCGATTAACGCAATATCGATGCACAATGAGTGCAGTGGCTGTAATGTTTATCCCCGTTGATTTTTTTTTTTCTTTTTTGGGAAGCTTATACGACCAAGTTGGCCGTAACGCCCCCCTCCCTTCCAGCTTGCCGGGCTCCCGAGTGGCGCTCTGCCTCTGCAATGTGTGCGCGCGTGTGTGTGTGTGACAGTGCGGCAGTAACTCCACTGTGCACGCGTGTGTGCAAACCTCACACAAGCAGACACGCGTTTCAGCGATTAACGACCCACGGTCGAGCGATCCAGAAGACGCATAGATCTCACTTAATTTCTACATTTTCAATGCAGTAGATTCAGCGTGTCTCCCCTTTTTAGTGGGTCTGTTCAAGGTTTTCCTGCACAATTTCTGTAGCCTGAAAGGAACTCTGTGTTTACTCTCTGCCTCAGGCATCCAGTCATGACTCCAGTTAACACAGTTTACAATTCATAATTGGTTGCAGTGTTGTGCCATTACACCAGAGCAGTAACTGCATCCCCTTTATGTTTTGGGACCTTCTGTAACTCTTAGACCCTTTAGTAAATTCCAGATATTTTATTTTTTGCTCAGAGAGGGTGTATTAGGGAATGAAAAATCAAAATGAATGGTGTTTATAGGCTGTAAGGGTTTTTTAGTACCTTGCCTGTAATTGAATGTGGTCCATACTGCGGGATGACAGCCTGTGGGAAGCAGATTGATTCTAAGTGATGGGTGAGATGGCAGACTGGGGCTTGGTGGGAATTTATAATAAGGTTCCAGATGGGAACGATGGAATATAATGTTTTGGCAATGAACCCCAGCACTACCATAACTGAAGATGGCATGTGGCGAGGCTTCGGTGTACATGCAGCTCGCGGTCCGTTATGGGGCTCAACCGGTTGCAGCTCCCCCCAAACGCCAGCTGCTGCTGGGGTGCCGTGCTCAGGTGGGGCCCCTAGAGCCTCTCATCACCTGATCTGTGTGGTGCTTTAGAAGATCGTCTGTCCAATGAGACCACCGGCCACGTATCGTCTGTCTTTGGGGCCATTGTGTCAACGATGTAAAACGAGTAAGAAAGCTGTAGATTGAATCCATCAGATTGTTTGGCGCTTTGGGTTTAAGCTCATTTTAAATAGTTTAAATAGTTTATTCTTGCCTTCAGTTGTTTTTGAGCACTCCCTGTTCTTGTTGTTTAATTTGGGGTGCCATCACTTGAGATAATTGGAACAGCCATGGGGCTGAAGTTGGGGTTGTACCTGTGTGAACCTCTAACTGTAAAATCATTACGGTAGGGTGCTGACCGTCTTCCATATCTTGAGCAAATGAAGGCACTTAAGACAATATGCTTAAAGCACCAGTCCTATGCAGATGGAGAAAAGTGCACCCAACAGTATAGCTGTGTCGACATGTAAAATGTCCCTTAAATCTGCCCAGAGCTCTCAGGGAGCCGGTTCTTGCAGCTGTTTATAGACCTTTGAATAGTAGGGATCCACCTTGTCTGTTTTCCACGTTGGCCTGGAGCTCAGCAGTTGTATTCTGTCACTTGGGCAAGTGTTTGCAAGTGGAGTTTTCAAAGCACATGTCCACATTACATGACAGGCATGAGAGACTAGTTTGTCATTCACTGAAACCCCATTCATGGAGCTGTAATACCCCAGGAGCTGTTTAACCCTCTTGTGAGATGATAGTGTTTTATGCTAATACATTAATGGGCTGAAGGAGAATATGTAGAGTAAATACCAGGGTTGTGCTTCTGGAAATGGGAATCTGTGACATCTCTGATTGTAATTGATGTTTTGTTTTTTTTTTTTACTTTCTGCCCATGGCTGTATGCCATGCTTCTCTTCAGCTTTGACTGGTACAGTTTAGGGGATTCATGCTTATAATTATGGCAGAAAAGTGTAATGATATCATAATTCCCAGTGGGTTCTGTTCACCCTGCCTCATACAGTTTCTGAAGGTTCTTGAGTGCTGTTTCCTTGATTTTGCTGACTTTACACCTGCCCTTGGCCTTTCCTTTGATTAATGTGTTGGCTTTCTATGTTACCACATGACCACCAGTAAAACACATTAGAGATTAATTAACCTCATTAGTCCCTGTCTATTAAGTCTATGTGGTGGATGAAGACCAGTGAAGTAATGTTGATTATTTGTCAGTGATAATGTTGTCTTTGAGGCTGTAGACCCTCACATTTAACTTTACAGTGGAGCGTTTTATTAATGATAGATGTGACCTTTATGGACTTGATTGTAATACTGTATTTGGTTGAACTAACCTTTGATTTTTCTATTCTAATGAATAGCTGCTTATGGCTGTGTTTGATAGATTGCTGTTGTTTCTGAAGTGGATATTTTAAGTGATTTTTGGTCCTCTGACAACCAGTTAAAGTTGTCAGATTTTCCTTTCGTGGTAAATTAATGTTTTTCTAGAGGATGTAGAATCCGCATAATTTCCATATTCTCTGTTTCTGTCGATACTTCCAAACTTTAAACTCAACTTTAAAGCCGATTTTGTGACCCCTAACCCCCCCCCCCGGTCCCCCCAACACAAATTTTATTCTTGTAGGTCCTTGTTAGCTCTAGATTTACCATTTTATGTAAGGAATGTTGTTGTGAGAAAGTTTAAAAGCAAGGTCTTTGAATGGTTAAATTTAACCTGATTTTTATTGCTGCATGGAAATTAGCTTAGTATGGTATTTATTTATTATTAATCTATCCATCACTTTTCCTGATGACCAACATTTAACTGGCTTACTAATAAATGGAATATTTCAGGTACTTGGCACACCCATTATAGGGTTTATCCCAGATTAATTTCTCCAGCTTTCAGTGTTGGGTAATCATACAACTGGATGTTTCTCATGAAGCATATAGATGCTTTGGTTCATTTAGAATTTAGAAGAATTTAGAATTGTGATCAGTGGTCATTGCCAACACACCACAGCACACAGTGCGCAACAACAAAATGTGACCTCTGCATTTGACCCATATGTGACTTTCGTGACATAGCAGGGGGCAGCTAATTCAGTGCCCGGGGAGCAGTGCTTGGGGACGGTACCTTGCTCAGGGTACCTCAGTGGTGACTTGCAGGTGGGGGATTCGAACCTGCAATCTTTCAATTACAAGTGCGCTACCCTAACCATCAAGCCACCACTGCCCTTTGCTGTTCATTGTCGCAACAGCAAAATGTCTCCAATGCCTTGAGCATCTAGACATTCCGTAACAGTTCTGTCCATCCATCCAGCCATCTTTCATAATTGCTTATCCCGTACCAAGTTGTTGTGAGTCTGTAGCCTCCAGTTTCTGAATGGCTGTTCTGCCTTCTGCACAGTATGTGGCGCATTCTGTGTTTGATGGGATATTTGGACTCCACAATCTTCCAGTTAGCATCCCTGCCTCACTAGTGCACTACCTATACAATTTTAGCTGCTTGTCCTGTATTAACAGTGCTAACTTTCACTTAGGTTTTCTGGTCCTTCTAGTTCTTCCTAAGTCCTGAACAAGGCTGATTAACCCCTTTCCCTGCTAATAGTTTTATTACCAAAAAGGGTGCTTTACTATTTTGATAAAATCTGAGTGTTTTATTGTTAATCTGGCCACTTTATTTTCCTTATCTCGAATGCAAACTCAAATGCTTTTCTATTTATAACTAGCTCAATATAAATATGACAAGCCATGCAAGCGGTTATTTGTTTTTCCCTTTTTGTAGTCAAATGCAAAGTCGCATCAAAGCCTTGCATGTTGACATTTCTAACCATGTGTTGAAACAAATAATATAGTAGCTGTTTCCATTGGACTCTTCCAATGAATGCATTTATTTATTTATTTTTAAGAATGGAAATCTTGTTTCTACATTGTGTGCATGTGCCTACACTAGCATGGCATCCCTACCAGGGTGTCCCCCACCTTGTGCCCAGGGTTTCTTGCTCCTTTTGCCCCTGCTTTGGACAATCAGTTAGGGTACTTGGTTGGAAATTAGACCAGAACACCAGGTGCACATTAAAAACAACCCTTTTCAAAATTTTGTTTTGCATCATTTCATTTTATTCCCTTTTATGTTCTCATATTTATGTACTGAAACAAGGCAATAATTTGTCGCGACGGTTCCAAGTAAACACCAGCAGAGGCACATGGTTCCACGACGATTGACTCTTCCCAGGTTTGGAGCGCAGCAAGTGTTTCTGCCTCAGCTGTAGCCTTTCACAGTAAACATACAGGGGTAAACGACTATCTGATTATTGTTTTCTCCTGTTATTTTTAATATGAGCAGTATATTATCACGTTACAAACGTGGGAATGAATCCAGGCCTTACTAGTAGGACAGTCGTAGATGCCGCTTCTCTGTAGCCACAAGCATGATGATGGCAGTCCGGCCATACTGTCTGGTTTGCAGAACTGGATTTCAAGTTGTGAATCATTCATTGAGGTGGTTGGAGAGGTTGGATGTAAGACCCGGAACTTCACTGTGTTTTTGAGTAAGATGAAGAGAGTAGGATGCTCTGTATCTGCAAGGTCTGCTTGCTCTTTGCCGAATTGAGGGGGAGTTATCCTTGGTTGCCTAGTGCTCTGCTCTCAGGCTTTGTGGAAAGCAGGTGTGACTGGAGGTGACTTGGTGGGTAGCACTGTTGTCACCAGGACTGTGTGTTGAGTTTTTAACGTTTTCCCTTTGTTGCAGCGTTTTCCTCCAACAGTCCAAAGACATTTGGGCAGTCAGCTTAATTGAAATTGCCCATGATATGATTGTGTGTGTATATGTGTGTGTAGGTTATATATAATATTAATTATGGGGACCAAATGTCCCCATAATGTGATAAAAACATATTATTTTGATGTTGAGGACCATTTTTTTTCAATCACCACAAGGTGAATCTCAATTCTATAAAAATCTGTGACTGCAATCAAAAAACTAAAAATTCCTAAAGTCTTGTCTTTTGATTGACAGCCTTAACCTTAAGTAACCATTGTCGGGATTAGGCTGTGTATGTCTGTTTGTGTGCCCTAAAGAGGACTGGCATCACATCCAGGGTGACCCCAGCTTTGTGCCCTATGCTGCCTGGGGTACATTCCAGGCCCCTAGTGACCCCGACCAGGATAAGCGGATGGTGCGTGACTGCAGGATATCTACCACCTACAGTATGCAGCAAGCCAACATCCTCCCAGGGAACTATCCAT